TTTGGTGATATCGTCAATGCCAAAGGCTCACTTATATCAACCTCACACCTTCAAAAATCAAGTGAACTTTTTTTTCAATTCAGCTATCTCTTCTTATCCAATTTACGTTTACTTGTTCATATCTTATCAATTCGCTTATTTATTCATATATTTATTAGTCGCTTTCTGTAATCTGTTCATACTATTTTCGTTCACCTCATTCTGATAGCAAAATGTATAAAAAAGAATCTACCACTTTGAATGAATATAAAAATGGATCTGAGTTTTTCGAAAAGACCAATTGACATAAAGAACTCACAGTACAATATTGGTTGCTATGGCAGCGTGTATGAGAAAAGTGAACATTGATTAAACCTCACTTTCAGAAGAGAAACCTAAAAATTGTTTTTATAAGGTTTATTTTTGGGAGTTCAAAGTAACCTAATTGAAATGACTATTATACTATATGAGTGCACACTAAGTGCGAACGTTTCCCCTGTTAGCGTGCTTCTAAGAACCCTATAATCGTTTGATGAGTAATTTCTTCTGATTCGTAATTACTTTAGTTGAAAATTTTTCAGTTCAAATTTCTAAAGGAAGACCAATAATGCTAGCTGTACCATTTCCGGCGTGATTGGTACCTAAGAGGTTGTTTAGTTAAATGATAAAATGATGTTTTCAAACGATAGAATTGAGTACGTTTCAAATGAATAGAAACAAAGTCGACCGTATAAGCACTCTTTGAAGAAAATGGTGCTGTGATCAAAAAGAGTGAAGCAAGAGAATAAATGCGATTAGGAAATCATATGAGGATTTTCAATACCCCTTGTCGTTCGTCGTCTTGATGACTTTTCAGATTGTACATTATACAGATTATGCATTTAACAAATTGTCTTTGCAATGTATGTGTTTTATCAAAAATCATGCATTAATTCTATCGCTGAGCAGCATAATATCCAAAATGGTGTTATGCTTGCTTACTCCATGAAAGCTTACTGCCTTTCTGAAGACCTTTGATCAAAGACAATACTCGATCAAATTTTCGGCTTTCAAACTTTTTTCTTGTGATGCGGGCCCCCATATGAACTTTAAGAATTTACTTTGGCAAAAATGAATCTATCCTTTTGTAGGACCAGACGGTAAACTCCTCATGAGCC